GGGGGGGGTAGTGAAGTCTGTTTAAACCTTAGAGACGGTTTTGAGCTATGGTGTTGTGCTATTTTTTCTTGCTTTGTAGGAAAGTATAATGTGTCAAAACTAATGGACTCCCAGTTGTAGTGAGCTTCTTCAGCCTCTCTTACAACTATTTCATCGCATGAGAACCCCCTAAAGCCTTATTTCTTCCCATACCAGGCATGTTTGTCACCACCATTTCCTCATAAAGTCAATCTTTTATGTTTCTTTATCGCCCGTTTTCTCGAAACGCGGTTTTTCTATATACTTTTTAAAATAACTCCACCTTTTTTCATCCCACCTTCATGAAATTTTCACCGAATGAAGAATAGAATGTAATACTAAAACTTTGGGTGCCGAATTTTTATATATGGAATAGTTTTTCGTTTGTTGTGTATTGAGTGTGGATTCTCACGGATTTTGAGCAGACGTGAATATTACCTTAGGAAAAAATTCTTTAAAAATGTTGTAGGACGTTAAGGAAAAATCATCACACAGATTTGTAGATCTATTGTTTGCCAAGATGCATGCAAAAAGACAATTTAATTCCGTGAAAAATAAGAGTGATATTAATTACATAAGGTATGTCTACAATATCCAATATGGCCACCATATCCATGGAAATGAAACTTTTTGCTCAAATTTGATTGCCGATTTTAAGACTCCCAACTAGGCTTGAAATGGGAATTTTGGTAACATTTGATCCTCTAATAAGCGAGATAGCCTTCAGGTGTAGCCCCCCCCCCCCTACTCTTAAAGAGGGAACACCAGATATGAAGAAGTTATCGAAAACAGCTCTGTCTTGACTTTTACATGCTGCATATTATCATTTCTGCTGGAAAGGTCGCCAGCATAATTGCTTTCCTTCCCCCCGGATCTAGGTTTAGGCCGCCGACAGACACATTCTCCATATGTCCACATCTTGGCTGAGCTTCTTGACATTTTTCCACGTCTCTCCATTTTTTGGACAATCTTTCCTTCTCCCTGACTCTTCTCCACTTTCCAGAGATAATCACCAGCGTCTGCTAGAACAAAATCAAATGCAAAATGAGCCTGACAAAATTAGTTCCTATCTTTGAACAAAAAAACAAAACAAAAAACCGCCCAACCCCCCCCCCCCCCCCCCAACAAACAAACAAAAATAAAAAACAAAGAAAACCCCAACAACTCTGTTTAAACTTTGAGTGAATTTTTTAATTCGTTAGCTTAGAATTACACTGTTCTATCTGCTTAGCATCCAATTTCGAGAAATTTGACGTTAAAAAATTCACAACTTGTCAAGCTTTTTCGGATGCAATCTTTCAGTTTTCGGGCATATGGAGTTATTTGTATCATATTATAGCATCGTCATTTGGCTTGCTTGGAAGATAAAAAAATCCTTATACTTTGAATAGAAGTCGAGATATTTGGGATTGAAGGTGGTGAGGTCGCCTGGTTTCAGATGTAAAATTAACGAGAAAATGACGGTCAAACTTTGCCGACTGCCTAGCTAGAGAGTCCTTGGAAACTGAAAGTTTACACTTTTTGTGTACTTAATCAACGTTTTCAGACAAAACCCACTCAAAAATATGTTTTTCAATGCAACTAAAAGATGTTGAACCGTTTCTTTTTATTCAAAAAAAAAATTGATTTCACCATGATGTCTCACATTTGTGTTTCTGGCTGTCTGTGGGATACATCATTAACAACTCCTTCCCTCTAGTCACAGAATACAGCCACCACAACCACCACCACCACCACCACAACCAACAACAACAACAACAACAACAACAACAACAAAAACAACAACATAACCCTCTTCCTCTAACCCCAGAATATCACCACCACACCCGCCACCACCAACGACAACTACAACAACAGTAACAACAACAACTACAACAACAGCAACAACAACAACAACAAGAACAACAACAGAAACAGCAACAATAACAACAACAACAACACCACCACCAACAACAACAACAACATAACCCTCTCCTTCTATCCCCAGAATATCACCACCACACCCACAACTTTACTCCTCTGGACGATGCTACTTCATCTCCCGTGATTCGGCGACACTCTGAACCTTCTCCTGCAACACCCCCACCCCCCAGCAGGCCCGTAGATCGGAGTGAGCAGAGTGTTGCATCTTTTCATCCATGGATTACGCCTGTGGATCTGGATTAAGGAGGATGCACTGCCTCACAGCTTCGTCTTGGAGCGGTCACGTGATGACAGCGCTGCTTCTGATTGGTCTAACCGTTGGTCAGCATGTCTTGCCGGGTAAGTTGGTGATTTGTTTTTTCTTTTAGTAAGGTTTTACGGCGCTCGCAACTGCATAAGGTCATATGAGCACCAAGGGGTGGGTGTCAACAGAGAAGTACTAACAGGAAATCAGGCTTAGACTGATCCCCTCTCTAGCTTCAGCAGCACAAGGTCTACTTCGACTATCAAGGCACCCCGGAAGTAGCAGGTCACAAGAGTGTGACAAACATACAAAAGAAGTAGAGGAAAAATGACGATAGTAAGGATCAGGAAAGAAAAAGCAGCTGTTGAAGTTTAGGCACAGTTATGAGCATGACATTGATGAATCAGCCCATTTACAATTCTACTGTGCATAAGAATGGCCTAAAGACACTTTAGTCAGCAGCACCGCCCGGGGGGTTGTTTGTAGTTTGGGGAGAGAGGGGGAGAGAGGGGGAGAGAAAGAGAGGTAGAGAGAGCGAGAGAATGAGAGAGGCGGAGAGAGAAAGAGATACAGAGAGAGAGAGAGAGGGAGAGAGAAGGAAGGAGAGAAAGAGAGAAAAATCCAGAGAGAAAAATCCAGAGAGAGAAAGAGAGAGAGACAGAGAGAGAGAGACAGAGAGAGAGAGAGACAGAGAGAGAGAGAGAGAGACAGAGAGAGATTGAGAGAAAGAGATTAATTGTATTTTGTTCTTGATTAAAAGCTTGCCCCAGACTTTATATTTTTATGATAACACATACATGCCAAACATTTTTTGATAACACATACATGCCAAACGTTTTATGATAACACATAAATGCCAAACTGTTTATGGCAACACTTACAAGCAGGCCTGGACTACAATGCTGATGAGTCTGGCTCAAACCTCAGAAAATGTTGTTGTTGTTTATTTTCAAACGTGGATCTTTCACCTTAGTCAGATTCCATAAATCGTCTTTTGTGTAGCAAATTTTTGGGTCCTTCATCTTGAGTAGACTTACTGTGTTAAGCTACACCTCTTTTACGGACATTGCAGTGGCTTCCTGTTGAGAGAAGAATCGTGTACAAGTTGGCCACCCTATGTCACAAATGCTTGAATGAAAAAGCACCATCATTTTTATCAAATCTTTTGAGACTGTACTTTCCAACTCGCAGTTTAAGGTCATCAGCTGTCAAAAAGAAATTCCTTTATCATCTATCAAACTTGAACCAATGAGAGAAAGGGAATACCAATGCCCAAAGATCTGGAGTGCTTTGCCAAGTACTTTAAGAGAGATGAAATCCTTTGATTGATTCAACTGTCAGCTGAAGTCATATCTATTCAAATTAATGCGATGAATATTTGGAGTGATTTTCTTTTAGTCAAAACACAACGTTTTATGTTACTGTTGTACGTTGTACTGTATTGTAAAGCGCCCAGAGCCTGTGTACTTTAATCGGGGTTGAGCGCTATGTAAATGTCATTAATTATTATTTTTATTATTATTATTATTATTATTATTATTATTATTATTATTATTATTATTATTATTATTATTATTATTATTATTATGCAGGGCTGCAGAGGGGGGAAAATGAATCGACTTTTTTTGGGAGGGAGCATAAAAACGTCAACATTGAAAACAGAACTAACGCGTTATGAAAAAAAGCCACCCCCCCCCCCCCCAAAAAAAAAAAACCATCGACGAAAAACAAATAATAAAAACCTAACAAACAAGAAACAGTATAGCCATCTATGAAAAGCGATCTTTTTTCACGATGTGGTGCAAACCATTTAAAAAACCACAATAAAAATAGGGCGTTAAAAGTGAAGACTTGTTTTTTTTGGGTTTTTGTAAGTGTTTTACGGCGCACGCAACTACATAAGGTCATATGAGCGCACGGGACACGTTGAACTTTTTCAGTTGGTAGGAAATTTTGAATTTTGCCCGGGTGGCGGCCGAAGCCTACTCTTATCGATTTTAGACCACCAATGGATCTTTAACGTACGCAACTTGCACACGGGCCCTCCGATATTTTTTGCCCTTGTCCTAGAAGGCTAGGTGTAGATCTTTCCTATCAGAAGATCAGGGGTGTGGCTGAAAGACAACCGTAAGAAGAAGCCAAGGAGTAGCAGTAGAAAGGCTGCAGAAAGAATCAGGAGCCCAGAGGAGGGGGCAAAAAGGAGATGAGGGAGTGGGGGCAGAAAGAGGAGACGAAAGCAGACGACAGTACATTGTTAGAGAGCAGAAAAGGAGGTGAAAGGAGACAAATTTAGAGAAGAAAATGTTTTGGTCACTACCCGGATTCGAACCCGGGACCTTTGAGTGAGAGGCCAACACCTTAACCTCTAGGCCACGAGAGCCCCAGACTTTAAAAAATGTAGATCGTTTCGAAAGATGAAAAACAATTATTTAGATTTTTGGTGAGTGCAGATAGGAGGCAGGAAAAAGAGACAGTAAATGAGAACGGGGGAAGGGGAAGGGGGAGTGGAAGAGAGGGGTGGGGTGGGGAGGGGGGCGTAGGTTGGCAAGGGAATAATGAAATGCCGCAGTTTATAAGATTAAATGGTGTCTGGGTTTTGCCGTGCAAGATATTAAAGAATTTTGTTACAACTCTTGAATAGAGAATGTCAGAATAGCACAAGCATTTCATGTTAACATTATCGCATACAATAGCATAAATAGCAGCAGCAGCAGTAGCATCACCAACAACAACAACGCCAACAACAACAACAACAACAACAACAACTACAACAACAACAACAACAACAACAACCACCACCACCACTAACACAACAACAATAACAACAAAATCAGCAACAACAACAACATCAACATCACCACAACCAACAACAACAACGACATCATCATCATCATTAACAACACCATCACAGCCAACAACAACAACGACAAGTACAACAAAAACGACAAGTACAACAACAACAGCAACACCACCACCACCACCACCACCAACAACAAGAACAACAA